CAAAAAAAAAGAAGTTTTAAATTTGTATGAATTTGAATTTAAATATGTATAATTATGTGTATATATATATACACATATATATGTATGACTACTACTAAACAAAAAAGGAAATTTAAGATTTTGCAGGAAGTCAGGCATGATAGTGCATGCCTGTTGTCCCAGTACTCAGGTGGGAGGCAGAGGCAGTAGGATATCTGTGAGTTCAAAGTCAGTCTGGTCTACATAATGGACTTCTGGACCAGCCAGGGCTACTCAGTTAAGACTGGCTCAAAAGAAAAAAAGATGTAGAAACATAGTCAAACTTTGAATGTATAAAATTAATTGAGGCACAATGTCAGAAATAAACCATCTGTTCATTGTCATATTCAGAATCTAGCTAATAATATATGGATATGTGTAAAGAACTGTATGTGGGGGTAAAATATAGCATGAAGAAAAGAAAAGAAGAAAGGCTAATAAATATAAAGACACGAGAAAGGACTCAATGCAGATAATGGGCATGAGTTGTCAAAAGAAATAGAAAGCTAATTGTTTTTCTAGTTCTAATTCTGTTGTGGGTTTTTGGTTTTGGTTTTGGTTTTAGAAGTGGGTAAGGGCATAAAATATATTAGAACTGAAAGTGTAAAATGTAGCATGAAGAGGCTGGAGGGATGGCTCTGCTCTTAGGAGCACATACTGCTCTTCCAAGTTAGATTCACAGCACTCAAGTCAGGTGACTCATAACAGCCTCTAAGTCCAGCTCCAGGGAATCTGACTGCTCTGGCCTCTAGGGACACATGCACTCATGTGCACATAATTAAAAATAATGAAAGAGAAAAACATTTTTTGGTATTTCAAGACAGAGTTTCTCTGTGGTTTCAGAACCTGTCCTGGAACTTGCTCTGTAGACGAGGCTGGCCTTCAACTCTCAGAGATCCACATGTCTCTGTCTCCAGTATGCTAGGAATAAAGGCATGCACCACCACTAGCTGGCTTTAATGAAAGAAAATTTAAATATAAAGTTCCATTTCTTTAGTTCTGAAAGCCAATTCTAACTGTGAAGAATTTCACTAAGTTCTATAGACTTTGTGTCTGGTTAATTTTGGTGTGTGTGCGTGTGTTATTTGCAAGGTTTTTAACATTTTTAAAATAGTAATGTCATAAAAGGCATTCAGACAAAATATTGGGGAAATTGTAATAGGCTAAAGGAGATGGGAAAAAGTGAAAACAATATAATATTTGAATCTTTACTGACTTTTGGATAAGGGGAAAAATTCTGTAAAGGACAGTAATGAGATAACTTGAGGGAATTTGAAGTGTAGAGTTAATGTAGATGACACTGTATTATGTCAAATTAGTGGAGTTTGGAAATTATACCATGATTGTGTAAGAAATGTTCTTTTCCTTTGTAATTTAATGCTGAAATTTATAAGGCTAACATGTCAGAATATGTATAGCTCTACAATGATTCAGAAAAAGTATGCATGTTTGTATCTGTGTGTGTGCATCTGTGTGTGTGTGTCTATGTATCTGTGTATCTTTGTGTGTCCTTGTGTATGTGTATGTCTCTGTGTGGGGCTATGGTTGTGTGTGCGTATGTACTTATCTCTTTCTATTATATTGTATGTTTCCTGAGAACATGAATAATACCTGCTTCACTTTGATTCAGAATATACACTTACATTATTTTTTCAGAGTAATTTATATTTTCTTTTTTTCTTTCTAGACTTCCTTTTTCTCTTTAGTTTTCTTTCTTCCTTTCTTTTTGAGTGAGTTTGTGTGTGGGGGGGTTCTTCTGGCATTCAATAAGTGGCAATGTCTTCATGCTATCAGCTAGACATCCGTACCTACACATCTCGTGATGGTTACTTGTCTCCTCTGTGAGCTTCTCCTCCTAGTTAGTGCTAGGTATCATCTAGCTGCAATAGATGTACTGTGTTGAAAAATCTTCTTCATAAATTCTTGTCCACCTAAAAACTCAGAATATAATCTTACTGGGAAATGGGGCTTCTGCAGATTACCATAAGTTATGTTCAAATGTTCAATGAGGCCACACTGGTTAGACAGATAAAAACAGACACAAGGACACAGAGGGGAGGGAACTCACCAGGTGAAGATGAGACTTCAGCAAACATCTGCAAGACAAAGAACACCCATGATCCCTGGAAACCAGCAGGAGCAAGGGTGAAAACCAGAAGGTCCTTCCCCAGATCCTGAAGGAGTTACCTGGCCCACTAACATCTTGACTTCACACTTCAGCCTTCAGGATTGAGACTGCTAGTCCAGCCACTCCGTTTATGGGAATTGCTATCCGGCAGCCTGGGAAGCAAATTCAATATAGATATTTATGAAACTGTACCAGTTTGCTAGGCAGACCCCGTCCAGATCAGCCTCCACTCTCAGCCTGTAAATCTACCCCAGACTCTGGCCCTGAGTCAACTGCGCGACAACAGTGCAAAGATCCTTGATAACAGATTTCCTGCCCGCTAAGCTTCTGAACAGGGGACAGACCATTTATTTGTCATCCTTCCAGAATATTTGCATTTTAATAGGATCCTTAGTCATCCAGCGCTCATACCCATACTATCCATTTGCTCTTAGGGTTTACCAAGTGCCCACTGAGTGCCAGGCAGTGCAGCAGGTCAGCCAGAGGACTGTTTTAGGACAAACAAGCAACTTCCCCTGCAAACCTCAGATCACGCCCTGCAGATCTCCACTACTGTCAGTGAGCTCAAAGACCGTAGTGGACACTGCCTAGGGAACACAATATCACGCATATCTTTCATTGAACATAAGGGTACTCTGGAAAAGGCAAGCTCTGTGTGCATATGATTTGAGGAGGATTAAACAAGGAGTGAAGAGGAGGATAAGTAACCAGTCATATAACCCATTGAGCAGCCTCCAGCTAAGTAATCAGTGGAAAATTCCACAAGACTGCGCACTCCCAGCTTTGTTCCTAGTGCCCTCACCCCTTGATCTTCGACTTTACGTCCTCTCCCCTCTGTGTAGGCTGCAAAGGTGTGTATATTCTGTACCTTTTCTTGCGTCTTCTCTAGTCATCCTATATTCTCTCTGGGTTTTTACATCTGGTTTCATTGGTCTCACTTAGCACTCGGTATATACTGATGTCTCCCAATGTTTCTCTCTGAACCAGAACTCCCTCCTAAGCTACACACCATTAAACCTGACTGCTTACAGGATAGCTCCCCACGGATGTTCCACAAATACCTCAAATTCAGTGCCTTGAAAAGCGAACCCACTGGCTTCACCATCAAATACACTTTTCTATCATCATTTATCATGTTATTTATGTAAGAAACTATGTGTGCAAGGTTGGTAATGTACATACTGTATTTGTCATAAATGTATGTCCTTTGAAGTTTAAGAGAAATTTGAGCTCTAGATAGCTCTGATTTTGTGAATATGTCTTTGTTTATCTTCTCATGTTGACCACTTTGAGACTGTTTTTTTTGAAACAGGGTTTCTCTATGTAGCCCTGGCTGTCCTGGAACTCCTTCTGTATACCAGAGTGGTCTCAAACTCAGAGATCCACCTACCTCTGCCTCCTGAGTGCTGAGAGAGACTGTAATATTAATTTCAAAAGGCTGCCTTCATTTTTTTTCTGTGAAGTGTTATCATTCATCGGGTATACTCCAATCCTATTATAAAAGACAAGGAAAATCCCAAATTTCTAATAGTAAAGTTCTGCTTGCTTAAGTGATGAAACCTCAACACAATGAATGATTGGAGTCATGCTCTAAGTTAAGAAATGCTTGTGATTAATATCATTAAAAAGCATGATTAAAGCCAGGGAGTGGTGGTGCACACCTTTAATCCCAACACTCCGGAGGCAGAGACAGGTGAATCTCTGTGAGTTCGAGGCCAACTTGGTCTACAGAAGGAGTTCCAGGACAGCCAGAGCTACACAGAGAAACTCTGTCTTGAGAAACCAAAAAAAAAAAAAAAAAAAGTTTAAAACATAGTCATGACTTTAGTTTGTTTATTTTTGACATGGGATCTCACTATGTAGTCAAGGCTTGGCTGGAACTCACAGAGATCTATCTGCTTTTGCCTCATAAATGCTGAGATTAAAAGCATGTGGCACCACACCCATGACTATTTACTCTCTAGCAACAATAAAAATATAACCAGGGTCTGAAGAAATTGTTCATTCGTTAAGAACATTTACTGCTTTTTTCAGAGGACCTGAGTTCAATTCCCAGCACCCACATCAGTGTTTTACAACCAACTATACTTCCTATTCTTCCTAATCTAGGAGATCCAATGCCATCCTTTGACCTCCTCAGGTACCTACACACATGTGATACACATGAACTCACACAAGCATTCAAACATACGGATATATCTAGTGTTTTTTTTATTTTTTAAGAGAGCAGGATAAGTGAGTAATTATTGTAGATTGACAATAATCTACCCTGACTCCTTGAAATCCCATCAAAAGGACGTGTCCATGAAGAAAATAAATGGAAAGAAATCGGAGTCGCTTTGTCATTGTATATCTCTTTATACCTGGCATTGGGACCAGGAACAGCCCAGCATATTACTCCATCCCCTGCACAAACTACATGTTGATGTTCTTCAAAAATTGTCGAGAGAGAAAAGGAAATTAGGCTGGTGAATAGAGAACGCTCTATGGCATAATAGAACCTCATCTGTTCAGGTTTGTTTCAGAGATAAACAAACAGAAGGAAAAATAGCTGTGTTGCCTAGGGTGGTGGTACTTGCCTGTAACCCCAGCCCTTAAGAGGATGAGGCAAGAGAAGAGCAAAACACAATGAAGAAATAAAAAGATTTACTGTAAAATCTGTAGAAGAAAATCATTCTTGCTATAGTTAATAATATGCAAATGTATTTAAATTCCCAAAATACCAAGTGTTTTCTATGTGGCAGTATTAAAAGTCTTTAAGAAGTGATTTGGTCTTAAGGACTCCTTCGTGAATGAGGCTAACACCCTCGTGGAAGAGACTTCACACAACCTTTAATTCACTTGCTCTTTGCAGCCTGAGGACTCTCACTCCTTTGGGTTCTGTATGTGTTAGTAAGATACCATCTAAAAAGCAGAGAGCAGCCTTCCACAGACAAACCTTCAGTCTCCTTGATCTTGGACTTCTTAGCCTCCAGAACTGTGAGAAATTAAATTTTTCTTTTTAAATTAGCCAGTTTGTGGTATTTTATGATAGCAGAACAGACTCAAATAGCTCAGTGTAATGTCAAACAAACCAGCTTCAAACGACGCAGACCAGCCCCCCACCTGGACCTCCCTTTGTGCACTTCCAAGCCAGCACTTCTAGGGCAGACATAGTAAAATCTTTATCCTACTGGTGCTTGTGTTGGGGGTGGGGTTGGAGGGGGTCCTTCGGTTCCTAGGATCTTGGCATTATGTTAGTGACAAACTTAAATAACTTTTAAAAGCATTAACAACCATTTATAAGATTAACCCAATCTCCTTCTTAAAAGTCCCCAAATGTCTATCCTGTTTTATTAAAAAAAAGAAAGAAAGAAAAAGGTTCTTTTTTGGTTTTTCAGGAAAGAGCAAAGACTTCACTTTGCAATTACACATAGCATGAGTCATAGAAAAGGCTTGAATAATGTGTAGAACGTTGCCACTGAGTCATCATGGATGATACAAGACCTCCTGAATACTGATGAATCAAATCTTTATAATCATAAGAAATCAAAACACTACTACCTTTTACTCTAGAAAGCTCAGTTTCAGTTTTGCCCATAGAAGAGACATTGGCTCTATATAACATTAATTCTTGTTCATAAGTGAGGAGATTTGTGCTCCCAAAAGCTAAGTGAGAGCCTCAACAGAGACAAAAAGTTGAACATGTAACATGAAGATTATTGTAAGTATTGCTTCTCCCTGTTTTAATGATTCCTTTTTCACAGTAGGTGAAACATTAAAAAAGAAAAAGCAATGGACTGGGGAGATGGCTCAGTCTGGAAAGTTCCTGCCGTAGAGCGTGAGGACCTGTGCTTTGACCCTCGGCAGCAAAGAAAAAGGAGCCAAGCAAGGTGAGACAAATTTGTAACCCCAAAATTGGAGAGTGGCTGGAGACAGCCAGATCCCTGAGTTTCACTGGGTAGACAGACTGTGAATTGATGTACTCCATGTTCAGTGAGAAACCCCCATCCCAAAAAATGACATAGAGATTGATAAACATACTCAATATCAGCTTCCGGCTTCCATATGTGCACACGAGTACACAAACACACACACACACACACACACACACACACGTGCACACATGCATACACACATGCAAATACACTGAACAGGTATATATGCCATGCACACACACACACACACACACACACACAGACAGAACTGGTCTAATTATAACTAATGTACTCAAATAACTTGTGATTCCCAAGGCTTCAGGAGACATCACTGACAGGGTTTGATGGGTATGCTGGAATGCCTGTGATTTATCATATAATTTACGTGTCCACCTGTGCAGCTAGGCAAAGACATAGTTGATGAAAATACAATCTGCCCAGCTGTTTTCTCTACTCCACAGAGGGCATGAAGATTACTTCTCGGCACCCGTCGCCATTCTTCTAGCAACAGCCCACCTTCTGTCAAAAGGACCCTTCATTTCCACAGGCTTCTAGAAAAGCAAGGGCAGCGATACCCGTCTAATCCTGAAGAAGGTTCCAGCAATTTTCTAGGCTAGCTGCAAAGTAATGAGCCTTGACATTGATTAAAGAAGTCATTCTCTCAACCCTTGTATCACTGCCTCATCTCCCAGCTACAGTGTGAGAAAAGGAGCTGTACTCTGGGCTGCTCTCCTAGGTTGAATTTCTAGCTCCTTATATTTACCTTTCAACTATTAAAAGAAGAAGTAAGGGACGAGGAGTCAGGGGAAGGCTGTAGCATGATGGTAAAGGGCTGTGTCATACATGTAGAGTCCTTCCTGGCTTTGATCCCTAGCATCAAAAGGGGAGGGAATGAATTATGCAACACCAAAAGTGAGCAACACAGCATTATTTCCTGTGTTAGTCAGGATTCTCCAGAAAGACAGAACCATTAGGATGGACACATAGATATGTGAAAGGAAATTCATTTAAAGGCATAGAACTGGGTAGTTGCCGGAGACCTGCTTCAGCAGAGGATGGAAGGGCAGTGGGTGGGAGGTTGTTCAGATCCCAAAGAGGTTGTGTGGAGTTGGAGGGGAATGAGGAGACACAATCTGAGGCTGAATCAGGATGGCTGCCAGCAGCCTTTAATTGAAAAGAGACTACACTTTTTATACTGTATAGGTGATGGCAGACCATGCATTTAATCCCAGCACTGGGGAGGCAGAGATAGGTGGATCTCTATGCATTCAAGGCCACCCTGGTCTTCAGAGAGAGAGTTCTAGGACAGCTAGAGCTACACAGAGAAATCCTGTCTCAAAAAACAAAAAACAAAACAAACAAACAAACAAAAACAAACCAAAAGGACGTATGGAAGTTACTTTTCTATTGCTATGACAAAAAAAGTCACGATCTCTGAAGCTTATTAAAGATAACACTTATTGGGGTTCACAGTTAGAGAGGGCTAAGCATGGTCATCATGGAGAACATAACAGTAAGAAGGTAGGCAGTCACCTTTAATCCCAGCACTCAGGAGGCAGAGGCAGGCAGATCTCTGTGAGTTCGAGGCCGGGCTGGACCAACAACCTCCAAAACAATACAGAGAAACCCTGTCTCGTAAAACAAAAAAACAAAAAAACAAAAGGAGGTAGGCAGTCATGACATGGAGCAGTAGCTGAAAGCTTGCATCCTGGCCCACAGACACAAGGCAGAGGAAAAGAGCTCACTGGAATGGAGTAGAGCTTTTGAAACCTCAAAATCCATCTCCACTAACACCTCCTCCAACAAAGCCTTCTAATTCTATCCAATCTGTGCTACCAACTAGGGGCCAAGAATTTAAACATGTGAGTCTGTAAGGGCCATTTTCATTCAAACTACTACATTCTACTCCCTCCCTGGCCTCCATAGGCTCATGACTAGATCATAATGCAAAATATATTTAGTTTAACTTCAAAATTCCCCATAAGTTTTCAGTCTTAAAAGTCCAAAGTCTCTCCTGAGACTCAAGACAATCTTTGCTTTTTTTTCTGTTTTTTTCAATACAGGGTTTCTCTATGTATCCCTGGCTGTCCTGAAACCCACTCCATAGACCAGGCCAGCCTCAAACTCAGAGATTCACCTGCTTCTGTCTCCTGAGTGCTGGAATTAAAGCCGTATACCACCACAGCCTGGCTACAATCTCTCAATTGCTACCACCCACCCATAAAGCCAAGAGTAAATTACATACTTCCAACATACAATGATACAGAATCTATAAATATCATCATTCCAAAATGGAGGAAAATGAGCATAATGAGGAAATACTGACCAAAGCAAAACCAAAAACTGGCAAAGCTGACTCCAAATCCTGTAACTCCGTCTCCTATGTCAAAGGGCCTAGATGGCCCTGCTCTCCCAGCTTTGCTGACTGCAACACCCTTCTCTCTCTTGGACTAGTTCATCTCCTTACCTGCAGATATCCCATGACTCTGGCGTCTCCAGCATCTCAGAGCCTCCAACACAATTTAGGTTTCACTTCACAGGTTCATGATATCCCAAACAGAGACTTCCATACATAAAGGGACTGGTGCTCTCAGGGCAAACACCCCAGCTAACCTTCTAACTCGTACAAATGAAAAGCTTATGCAACAAAGGAAACCATCTGGGAACCAGTCTTCAATATATGAGCCCATGAGGGCCATTCTCACTCATTCTACTATAGGAGGGTCTTGACCTTGACACTTAGAGACGATGAGAAGTCCCATTCATGTACTGGAGACCATGAAGTATTTGTAGTATGGCTGATTCTAAGTCTAAGACCTTAGTACCAGAAAATCAGTTGGGGTAAGTCTCAGTCTAAGGCAGTGGTTCTCAATCTGTGGGTCACAACCCCTTTGGGGGTACTATGTCAGGTATTCTGCATATCAGATATTTATAATAATATTCATAACAGCAGCAAAACCACAGTTATGAAATAGCAATGAAATAATTGTTAGGGATGTCACCACAACATGAGCAACTGAATTATAGCAGTGGTCACGACCCCTTTGGGGGGTGGGCCAAACAACCTTTTCACAGGGGTTGCATATTAGATATCCTGCATATCATATATTTACATTACATTTCATAAGAGTAGCAAAATTACAGTTATGAAGTAGCAAATAAAATAATTTTATGGCTTGGGGGAGGGTCACCACAACATAAATGATGGGGGAAGTCCTGTACATTTGTTAATAAAGCACTGTTGAGCCAATAGAAATCTTGATAGGTGGGACTAGGAGTCCAGGAGGATTCTGGGAAGGAGAAACACAAGAGAGTCTAAATGTAACCGCCTTGGGGTAGGAAGCCCAGAAACGTCTCCGGTAAGAGAAATACATAGATTAACAATTATGGGGTAATTACTTAAGTCAGAGCTAGCCAGTAAGAAACAAGCAAGGCCAACAGCTTCATAATGAATATAGCCTCGTGTGTGTTTATTTGGGACTGATGCGGCTCTAGAACCAGGCTGGCGGGAAGGCTTCTCTCAAAGAAAAGCTTCTCCATAAAAAATGGTTGTCAAGAGCGGGATTTGAATTTCCACGCAAAACAACAAAAGCTTTAAAGGAATTTTAGAAACAGAAGAACAGAGAGAAGCACAGATTTTTGGTAGCAGCATTTTCTCAGGTGGGCTCTGTTTTGCTATCGACAAGCCGAGATTCACGTGGCTCGCTTACCGGAGTCTTCCTGACTCGGCATAAAAAGAAAAAAAAACAGCAGCAAGGTTGTTTTAAGAGACTCTGCTAACGATTAAAAGGTGTGTACATACAGCTGGAAGTGGCAGCTTTTGCTGGATGTCAGCATGGACTGAGGTGGTAAGCTGGACTCACGCTTACGCCCGCCATCTTGAAAATGGCAGTTTAAAACAGCCACGGTTTTAACAGATAAGACACGTGGCCAGAAAAACGTAAAGATTTACAGTAAAGTCAGACTTGGATGAACAAAACCTCTAAAGGTTTACAGTGTGTTTAAAAATATACGTGAGATTGAGAGAGAAAATGAAACGACAAAGTGGTAAATAAATAGAAAAGCCGACATTGTGGTGGCGCATGCCGGTAGGAATTGTTCCAGAGGCAGAGGCAGGCAGATTTCCAAAGAGAAACCCTGTCTCAGAGAAAAATAAATAAAAGTAAAAGAAATAAAGTAATAATAGATAAATAAATAAGCCACGTAAAGATGGAAAATACACAGAGAGTCTGGATACTGTACGCTATTGTGTTTTTAAGTTTTATGATTGCTCAGGAACGGAACAGCTACTAAAGTACACTTGATTATAAATGCTGCTGAATTAATCCAACTGTATATCTTTTGAAAATGCCTTCACTTCAAAATTTAAGTATAAGGATATGTTACTTGGAAAAGGAGTTTTTATTTATGTTTCTACAGAAAATGAAAAGCTGAGGATTCCTTCCAGGCTTCTGTGGTTTGACGAAACAAGACCCCCGGAAGCAGTGGACCAGGTGTTCCAACAACTGAAACAGCTAAGATGATGCAGCCTTACAGACCCTGAAAATAAGGACTTATACAGGTTTCTGAGTTTTGTCATGATCCCCATGGTATAAATAGCGCCCCCTTCCAGCATGAAGCAGTTTGGAGTGAGCGACGTCCTAATTCCCATCTTGTTTATAAATCTTTGTTTTCATTTAAATGGGATTGTTTATAATTGGTTAATGATCACAACCAATCTCTTTTTAATGGTAAAAAGGGATATTATGGTATGGGTATTGTTTTTCATTTATTGATACAAATTCAAGGTCAATTTTGTGATGTGTATATTTCTCCTCTTGATTAAGTATTGTGCTTATACTGATCTTTTAAAATGTAATGCATAATTGAATGCAGACTATAGATAGTTACTTATACTAGAATTTATAGTTAAGTAAGTTAGGTTTTCTAGATATACAGAAATATATTTGAGATAAATAGTCTTCAAACCTTTCAAGGACCTTCAGAAAATGGCATTTAAAATGGTTTAGGGTTTTTCTTGACAATGAGAAATGTCTGCTCCTGGCAGCACCAATTACGTCTGAGATGGGCATCGAAGAAACTCGTTATGGAGTTTGCTTTCAACATGGCAAGATTAGCCATTTGGGCAAGAAACTGCTCTTGCCTAGTCTGTTTGACTGTTGTATAATCTGGACATGCAGGACCCACAGGAAAGTGACTGCTGAACTCAGTCTTACGGGTTCCTGCTTCATGGAAGAGTCTATGGGACATTCTGCAGGACACAGAAAAATGACTGACAGACTGCCAATGCAGATGGACAGTTTGAAATTTTCTGCTTTGCTGAGAAGTGTTCCAGACACATTGTGGCCTATGGGCTGAAGATGGATGCCCCAACGTTACAGAGGAACTTCGGGTGACTGTCCAGGCAGTAAGATATCTCTGTCAATCCTAGTGTTTATATATTATCCTTCTGTGGTCTTTGATGGAGTTGAAGACAGATAGTTATAATTATAGTTTTCCTTAGTTATGATAAAAGATAAGCTACATATAGAACTTTGGACTCACAATGATGGGATGGATGATATTTTCGTTAAATCTTGCTAAAATATTGTAACTATGTTCTTACTTGATAACTGTTCTGTTATATATAATTTGACTATGTTAAAGTTAAGACCTTTCTTTTAGT